GCAAGGAGCTGCTGACACCTTGAGAACCCATTTTTTTGATCACTCATTTGTGTCTCCCTTTGTTTCTGTTGTAGAGAGGATGACAAAGAGGACCAGAGGTCAGACCAGAGCCAGGATACCGGTCCTGAAGCAGTGGCGGTTCAGTCCACTTCGAGCCAAGTGGAAGAGCAACAGGAGGAGGAACGCGAACAGCAGAAGGGACGGGCTGAGGTGCAGCAAGACGACGATCCCTCCTTACAGCAGCAGGTTGTTGATATTTCATTTTGCATTTTACTTATTTGAGAATTTAAGAGGTCGTGTGACTTCTGAAATGAAGTTGTACATTTTTAGGATGAAAGTTTGAAGTTTTCAAGCAATGCATGTTTTGTTGGTGCGTTTCAGGCAGGGGAGGCTGGTACGGGCAGGGAATCGGATCCCTCGGTTCCCAGCAAAGATGACATCCCAACCTTTGACGAGTGGAAGAAAAAAGTCATGGAAGTGGAGAAGGAGAAAAGTAAGAATCTTTAACCAGGCACTTCAAGTATTACTGCCGTTGTAGCATCAGGAGGATTCTCTATTGTGCCCCACTGGTTGTTTTCTGGCTTTTAGCCTCCACTCGGCTTCTATTTCTGTATATCTCTCCCGCTCCGCAGGTCAAAATCTCCACACTGCCGCGAGCGGCATTGCCCAGCCGGTGAAGAAAGTCCAAAAAAACTTCAAGAATAACTACGCCTCGGTGGAGTGTGGCGCTAAGATACTGTCTGCAAACACTGAGGCCAAGGTTGGCGGGGAGTGGGGGAGTCGGGGGACGCGGGGGGCATACTTCTCCAATATGTCACCTTGAGACAACAACAAATCAATCCAAACTCACTTTGTTTTCAAATCTCCTTCTTCCAGAGCACGTCGGCTATTCTCATGGAGAATATGGATCTTTACATGCTGAATCCCTGCAGCAACAAAATCTGGTAATTTCAGACAAAAAAGACCAATCTATGCCCCTAGCATTTTGAAAATTACGTATGTATGTTTGTCTTACACCTCTCGAATGCTCCGCAGGTTTGTGATCGAGCTCTGTGAGCCCATTCAAGTCAAGCAACTGGACATTGCCAACTTTGAACTCTTCTCGTCAACACCAAAAGATTTCCTGGTCTCCCTAAGTGACAGGTACGCCTTGTAAAAAAAAATTGTCCACAAACTGGCAGTGTCAAATCACTGGCGGCTGCATTAGGCAACCCGGCACACAATTAGTGTGCCTCTGTTTGATCGGGCCTAATTTTGCGGCTGTAACGAGTTGGGGAGCGGCGTGGCTTAAAAAAAAAAAAAAAAAA